GGAATACTTACAAAATACATTTTGGGGCATGTATTCTGTAATCTGTAGTGGAATACATTTTAAAAGTAACCTTCCCAAATTCAAATTTTATTTGTCACATACACAGTCATACACAGTAGGATATGCAGTGAAATGCTTAGACAACTGCTCGTGACCTAAAATAAAAGACTATGAATAGGATAGGAAATAAATATGAAAAAACACAGCAATTATGCAATCTGCTGCCATCTCGTGGTGAGATTTTACACACTGTAACTTAAAAAAACCCTCAAACCTAACAGCAAAATATGCTAAATATTTTAATAGAAATTCCTAAGAAGACAGTACTTGATGGAATTTTACTGCTTTTTCAGCAGAGCATCATATATAGTGTTTCTCACAACTGTAATGAATTGTAGTGGCACAAACATTTCTAGGACTTTTTTTGTGTGTGTGTCTCCTGATGGGCTGGATCCAGTTTCTTTCTCTTTTATGTATTTTCTCTCTATTAATGGGAGTTTTTTATTTGGAAATAGCAGTGCTTAGTGGCCAGCTTATTTTTGGCAGGAAGAGAACCTGGGTGTATATGGACTTGATGGAATGTCTGAGCATTTATGAATTATCATCACAACAACAGTAACTACCAATGATACCATGGGAATGATTGAAAATAACTTTAACTATCTGTTATTTATATTTATTTATATATCTAGCTAGCTTGAAAGACACTCAACTGTCCGGGATTCCCTTCCTACATTTGAAATTGTCAATTTGATTTAAATTTCCAACTCCCGGTACAGCCGAAAATAAATGCTTTTGTTTTGAAGGGAATTAGACGGAAGTTGTTTGCTGTGTTTGGATGTTTAACTTGACTTTAGCCAGTTGGAGCGAGCCTATGCTTGACACACTTACCCACACCATACACATAAACAGTGTCGCGGCCTCTCCCCGAGCTTGTCCGAGATTACGCCGCTTTCATCGGTTAGACAAACTAACGAATCGCCGGTGAAAGACTGACTCTGCCCCCGCCCTGCGCTGTGTGTAACGCTGGTTAGCTCCGGTACAAGCTGGGAATGTGTTTTATTTAACAATTACATGACGACTTGTTCTCCATACGGTTGCGGGGGGACGCTGGTTAGCAGGGCTGAGATTTTAGGCATTTTAAAGTTGCACCGTGGGTGCATACAGGCCACAACACCTCCAGCTAACTGAGTAACTTGATAAGGGACAGACAACATCTTGGGCGTCTGTGTTTGTTTCGGTGAAGCCGCGGAGGTCTCCAGCAGCAGCCATGGCAGGGACGCGGACAGCTGCTCTGCTGGTCCTGGTGTGTTTACACTTCCATCGCTCCGGCTCTTTCAACCTGGATGTGGATAATCCCTACGTATATTCCAGACCCGAGGGGAGCTACTTCGGCTTTTCGGTGGACTTCTTTAAGCCTTCAAACAACCTACAGTAAGATTTGTAGCAGAGTAGATGGTTATGGTGATGATGGTGATGGAGAAGCGCCTGTTCAATGTAACCTTTGGTTTGCTTTACTTTACATTATATATGCTTCTGTTAAGGTACTTTACTAAAGTTTTACACTTGGGCCCTTTTCTTTTTTAGTGACAAGTTCTCAGCTAGTAATATGTTTTTAAGATTTAACATGACAACACATTAACAGCAGTCCATTAACTTTTACTTCAGTTCTTTATTAACCAAATTGTAAGGGCATAACTTTCAAGAAAAGGTTTTCTCCGTTCACAGCTACACCAGCTGTAACTTTATTTAAAATGAACACAGACAAACAGGAACAGTGCCCAGAGGCCATGTAGGCTTGTTGCTGTCTAAACTCTCGTCCACTGAAGCAGTGGATATCCATGGTTATCCAGTTTTACTGAAGTGAAAGTAGTTCTCTCAAAAGAACACTACTGATCTAGTTGTTTTCAGACTCTTTTTGTTTAGTTCATTTACATCATTAACAGACTGAGTGCAGTCCCAGAATAGTGCTGATGCCCTCAGTCATAGAGGAGGTTTAACCTGAGGTGCATTTAAATTGTGTTTCCCATATTGTCAAGTGTCATAAAGGTTCCTGAAAAACGTTTTAAAAAATATTCCCTGGAGTGTGTGAGACATCCTAATAACAGTCTTATCATCTGCCTTGATGCTTCCTGGTCTTGTTTCTTGCTGTATCTTTAGAGTGTCTGCATGAAATGATAGCAAAAAGCTGCCTGTCATCCTCCCTGCACAGAGTTTCTGCAGCAGTTTTGTAGATGCACATTAAGAAACTTGCACCGTGCTACTTTTTATGTATATTAAGAAAACAGGTGTTTTTCCCCCAGACATCTTTAAAACATCATCCTATAACCCACACCCCAGTTGTTCATTTTGTGTGTTAAATCAAGTCTTGTGGATTTCATTCCTTGTTCAACTAAACATATATTAGTAGGTACCCAGGAAAATGTCAGTTTATTGCAGATAACTCCTTCAGAGCAGAGCCCTGTTGACCTTGGTACAGGAACATACTCAGATTCTGTAACTGTTTTAACTTAGTATCTAAAACCACTATGCTGTGTAGATAAACATCGATTGCCTGCCATTTCTCCATATTGCATCAGAGGCATGTTGCAGTCTCATGTGACGATAGACTGACAGAGCGGACAGACAGTTAGAGACTTTCATCTACAGTAGCCTTTAGTAACACTAATTAGATCAGCACTGAAATTCACTGCCCATATTACAGTTATTGCCATGGTCAGAGTGGATTTGTATAATATGATATGAGGACTGAAGCTGGCTGACCGTGGCTTAATAATGTAAATATTTCCTCATACAGAACACGGTCACTGTGGAGACTCGTTTGGTTCTAGTTATTAAAAAGGAACTATACATCTTTTTTTCCTCACAGGGGCCTAATGCATATCAAGCATTTTGGTTTGCTGAACCCAGAAGTGATTGTGGTTAGATGATAGGGTGGAATGATAAGTTGCTGCTAGGAAACGTCATCTATAAACCATATGGGTTGGATGCACAGTTACAGATGCCTACTAAGTAGTGCTAAATAACAGACAGACACTACAATTTCACTCACCAAAACTGAAGCACAAAGCTCTTAGATGCTCCGTACCACACCCATGTCGTCAACAGTTGTTTAAACATGGTGACTCCAGTTAGTGAAGCTGAAACCCAGCGGGTACCAATCAGCTACAGCTAAACATGTTGTCAGCATTCAGATGGATGAGTTATGAAAATAAATACAAATTCCCTCATACTAGAATTGTTATGAAGGTGGACACGGAGGCCAAAAACAGTTTTTCCACCAGGCTGTAAACAGGCCTTTTAATGCATCTATGGGCACTGTCTCACATTTAGAGCTATATATTGTGTTAAATAAAAAAGGTCAAACGTTTTCATTCATTTTATAACTCTCTCAAAGCTATTTCAGCCAAATGTTACAAACAATAAGCTACGCTAAGTTCAGGCTATCATTCAATTTTTATTAGCTAGTTTGAGGCAGCAGTAGTGGCTGGAAGCTAAAAAGCTCAGCGTAACAATGTGTGGCCTGCAGTAATTACACGTATTGAGAGATCACTTGATTTGTAGCTGTTTTCCTGTTGTTGTCGTACTTTTATTCTACTGACTGTGGTTCCTGTCAGCTTTTAAAGCAACCACATCAACCAGTACAACCACCTCGTCTCTCTGAACCAGCAGCCTTTTAGCACGGCAGTGTTTAACGGATTAAAAGCTTTCATTGGTTTTATAAGTGGTCAATACCTTAGGTAGTGAAAAGAGTTGAAAAGGAAAAATGTCCACTGAATGGCTCTTTATAAACAAATCCTGTTTCGCACTGCAGGGAAACCTTAATGCTTTGAACAAAGACCAACTGTTCACATGAAAACTGTTGGCTGTCTCTTGCAGCATCGCTACAAGCAGCCAAATTATGTTTTGTATTGCTGAGGAAATTTGTCATGTTACTGCAGCATCTACAGACGGGAGATGATCTGTGTTTCATATGTTTATTCGATTAAGAACTAGTCAGTAGGGGATGTTCCAGGCAATGATACATTTGGACAAACACTCACAGTTGCAGCACTGTGTAGACCTCTTTAAAGGGACACCAATACTACACATGAAGGTCATTGTACCAGTCTTGGTCAGTAGTACCGATAATATCATCATGTGGTACTCTGGGTGTTTCTCCTGTTGATTTGTAGTCCTGTGTGATTTATGCAGAGTAGGGACATCAACACTGGAAGAAATGAAGCACAGTTTTACCAACAATCGACACCAACCATTTTTACACTGAACTAATATGTCGCTGGATTTGTTTTGTCTATGTGTGTATGCTCTGTAGGCGTGTGCTCCCCTTTACCAGTGGTCGACCTTGGTGTCTCTGAGCGTGAGCCTGTGGGAACTTGTTACCTGAAGAAAGGAAACCAGGTGGTTGAATACTCGCCCTGCAGAACAGGTATGTTTGTTTCTTCCTGTCCTAGTATCTGCAGTGGAATTCTGTTCTTACCCCTCCCAGTTCAAGTGCATGATCTCAGCTACGGTGGCCGCTGTAGGACAAACATATTTCAGAAAACATTTAGTCCGTCTTCCATAACAACCCGCAGCTGGACATGTTTCAATACTACATGTGCATTCTATATTTTAACATATTTGAGTAATATTGACAATTAGCAGTACATTAGGAATAAGAAAATAATATTGAGCCATATTGTGTGGTATTTTACATTTTTACCGTGGAGTTACCTCGAAAACTCTGCTCGCCGTTCATCTGTGATAAGCGCAGGCTGTCAGTCTGCTGTTTACCTCAGCTGTCAGTATGATACAAGACGACGAGTCAGTGAAGCTCACTTCTGTTCAGTGACGGCGATACTGAGGTGAGTTTTTGAGGAGATGCTGAATTTTTCTGTCGGTGAGTGCTGGTGGTTTTTGCTGCTGGAAGTGCATGTAACGTTATTGAACTTTGGGTACTTTTGAATAAACTCTCATACAATGTGAGAATGTAATCAAACTTCATGTCAGAGGTAAAGTGTGATTTTTAGCACACTCCAGCCTAACATCAGCCTATAACCAGCTGTTATTGTGTAGCTGGCTCATTCTCAGATGTCCAGAGACTGGAGGGTCACATTTTTAATTTGCTGTATAGTTTCAACTATGTCAGGAATAAATGAGCATGTTCATGCACATTTCCATGTTAGGGCTCTGACCTGTGTTCATTTCAGACTGAACTAAGATCTTCAGTAAGGAGGAAAAGGATGAGGTGGAAATGAGGAAGGAGACAGCAGCAGAGTATGAGACGCATAATAAAATATTAAATAACCTCAAAAAATGATGTTTTGAGTTTTTTGTATTTAATAGATATTTAAGCAGTTAGTTTGTTAGTTTTTACCCACTTTACAGCTGGGTGGCATGGACACCCAGGTTTGTCAGTGCCATAACTCCAGGACGAGGCGACGTAGGAATTCAGACCATAGGCACGTCTACTAAAAAGTCTTGAATGAGTTTGAATCTCAGTGACCTCGTCTTCAAGGTCAGGATGAGAGGTCACGCTTTCTGAAAATCTTGTCGTCATATATCATCATATCCTTCTATTTGGTGCTTTATAATAAATTATGCTATTTTATTTCTTCTCCAGAGAAAAACTCACCAGAAGGGCAGGGCTTCTGCCAGGCTGGCTTCAGTGTCGATTTCCTTAAGGTAGGATTCACACACGCTGTCCCCAAATAACCTGTTTTGTAAATTGCCTCAAAGCGCTCATTGTCAGCTACGTCAGGAGTTAGTGAGGCTGT